GCCTGTGTTTAAGGGAGCTTTTTTTTTTTTTTCAAAAGTCGTGAGCCTCTATTTGAAGGAGGTTTATTTATTTCTCAAAAGTTGTAGAGCCTCTGTTTAGAAGAATTTTTATGTTATTCCAAAAGTTTGAGTATGCTAAAAAAAAAGAGAGGAGGTGTCGAGTTGATTCTTGATTAGGTTGTTCACGTTTTTGCACAATTCCTTATTTCACAAAAAATGTACAAAGAGGGTTAGCTGTAGACACCCTCAATTTATTTGGGGTTCTACCTGGTGTTGTTAATTGAAAGAAAATAAATAATAATAATAAATAAAAGGGAAAAAACTAAAAAAAAAAAGGTGGTTGAATTTGTGTGAAATTGTTTGAATTGGATTGTAAAGTTTGAGTTGGGTTTAAGGTTGAAATTCAAAGGAAATTAGTATTCCTTTCTAGATTAGGATTTTTTGGATCAGAACCCTATAAATACAAACCCTAATCAAGTCTCAAAACACACAGATTAGAGAGACACACAAAGACATACATGGGGATAGCCAAAAAATGATACAGTAGAAGGAACAAAGATTAGCAAAATAAAAAAAAAATTTAAAGATTTTTTTTGGAAAAATCTAGAAAATTTATAGATTTCGATGAATTTTTTTAGATTTCGATGAAGATTTCGACAATATTTGAAGTTTTCGGCAAAAATTTTAATTTTTGATGATATTCCCAAATTCTGGCGAGGAATCCCAGAAAATGGCATTGAGTTCATCAAGGTTTAGAAAGAGAACAAGGAAAATAGAAGAGGAGAGAGAAGGGGAAGGAGAAATTTGAGAAAAAAAAAGAAAAAATAATTGTCATATTATTTTCTTTCCAAAAATAGAAAAAAAGAGATTTCTAAATAGACCTAAATGGTGAAAAATTTAGAAATAAAAAAAATTTTAAATTGACCTAAATGATGAAAAATTTAGAAATAAAAATAAAAAAATACAAATAAATTTCGAGAATGAAATTTTTAGTAATCGTAAAGGGTTGATTATCTAAAAAATTTCTAGGTGAGAAGATATTTCTAATTTGGCCCAATGATGGAATAATTAGATATATTTTCAATAAAAAATCAAACAAAAAAATTATTAAATATTTTTTTAATGACGGAGCCTCTTCAAGAAAACAAATAGGATTTTTGAATACTTTTGAGGTAAAAATTTTAAGAATTCTACCAAATTGATGAAAAATCTTTAAAATTATTTCTAATATTTAAATGTTAAAATTTAAAACCATTAGAATTAAGATCTTAGGATAATTTAAAATAAAATGGTACTATTCTTTATTTGGGCATGTGGGGGTGCTATAACTTTTCTCATATGTAATTGAATTTCTGAACCCTGTTCTAATTAGTAGACTAAAACATATTCTTTTAGGAATCCTTAATCAAGCTTAGGAGCTCCTTAAAAGGATATATTCATTAAGTGACAAATCACACATAGTTAAAAAAGATTGGTGGTGACTCCATTTATTAAGTCTAGTTATATATTTATGGATCTATATGTTATGACAAGGATGATAGGGTTTTAAAGATGAAGAAGAAGGAAAGGTTAAAATTACTACTTAGAAAAGCTTGGATTGCTTTGGTCATAACATCATTTTCGCCCTCAATACTTGGGAACTAAATATTGCCCCGTAATTGAGATAAAGTTTGCATGGCTTGTTGGAGTGGATTGATTGAGGAAAAGATTACTTGTAGTGAAGAAGGTGTTGTTTCAGTCAAAACCTGAGGTCAAGATGCATTTGGGATGGCAAAGATAACAAAAGAGTCTAGACCACCCGTGGATAATGAGCTTAATGATAATGAATAAGAAAATGACTTGTTTGGATCAATTATTTTGGAAAGCTAATATCTTACAAGAGATAAATTGTCTTGAAAGGTCTTATAGGAAAAAAACTTCGCATCTCCATCTCAATGTTAAGCTATTAATAAGATAATAAAGTTCAATGACAAAGTAGATTATAGATATACTTGTCAATTTATATAGATTAATATTTTTAATAAACAAAAGCAAGTGGCATTTTTACCTTAATTCCTACTTCTAGTTATAAAGGCAGAAAGATATTAGGTTAGTCTGATTAAACAAAAATGCAGTATTTAAATCTTGCCAATATAATTTCCATTCATATTTACCTAATAAAGCTTTTGTTGTATCCGATAGGATGGTTAGTTTTCAAGCTCCAATTTCCCTAGCTTAATGCAAGACCTATTATTCTTGAAAGTAAGAACTAGAAAAAGGCCATTGTAGTGTAGAAATACCACAAGTTAGTAGTTTTACTGATCAAGCAAAACAAAAATTGGTAAAAGAACTTTTGCCATATAGATCATTTTCAAGAGTAAACTCAGAGCTTCAAATTGGGTGTTTTGTAGTTAACATTTATTCCAACCAATTAAACATTCATCAAGAATCAAAGTATTAGTTTCTCAAAATCACAAAAGAATATATGCAACTGGTAATGAATGAGAGAGAGAAAGATGATACTTCATTTAATGCAAGTACAACTACCACCATAGGTATGTGTAGTTGATCAACAGACTGAATGAGTAATTGGAAAAATTCAGCACATGATACTTCATTGAGGTGTAAGATAGCATCCATGCAGTTAAAATAATGAAATAAGTGACATTTGATATTTTAAAGTTTACAACAGAATTTATAAAAATAAAAATTATATTTAAATTTTTTAAATTTAAAAAAAAAATATATTGATTGTTTGAGATATATTTAAATTTAAAAAGAGATCATATATCTTAATTGTTAGAGGTCATATATCTAAATGATATATTTTAATTTAAAAGAAATATATCTAGATATTATGAAAATTCATTTTAAAAAAAAATATCAAAACCATCGACCTTGTGCCCACATAAATGTTCAAGTAAACAAATTTATTAAGCTTTATCCTATAGGTGTCATTTAAAAAAGCTATACGTACTCCACGTGGCAAATTTTATTAAGTAATGTATTGATTTAAAAAAAATAATAAGTCATATTGTGTAGTTTTCAAAATTTAAAGGTGTTTAAAAAGAGATTATAAGAAAATTTATTAACAAAAAAATGTTTTTTGAAATTTTAAAGTTTGAAATCACAATAATAGGAATTTGGGTAATTAATTTTTTTTAAATACATTTATTTAATTAATAAATTACATAAAATAAGAATTATCTTATGTTTTATATAAAAAGATAATTGATTTAAGTGTTTACATAAGTAAATTTTATCAAGTAAATCATATATCTTGTAATAAATATATAAAATAGCATTCACGTAAATTACAATATTGCCCTATTACATATTGGGCATCCCAGACTTTGCACTGTTTTCACACGACAACCCTTCCTTTACTCCTCCAATAACAACTATAACTTTTCTCAATGTTTCTTCTCCTCCTGTCCTTCCCCAGTCCCCTTCCAATAAGCTGCAATTCTCAACCCTTAACCCAGCATCCAACAAGACAAGAATCCCCTCCCAGTCCCGATTTCGACCTCAGCTACACCTTCCCTTCTTTGGTGAGCATGTTAGAAAAGAGAAGTACTTTCTTTCTTATTGACTAATAATGGTTTTGCATGATGTTCTTCATAATTAATTTTGTTATTACCGAGAAGGAAACTTACAGGGGCCGGCCGGCCTCTGAAAGAATGAAGATGACTGAGATTGAGCCATGGATACGACCAGGAAAAACGATAGGACAAGGAATTAGACATGGATTTAAATACGGGTGTCAAATTCAAGGCTAGGTTAATGAATTAGTCAAAGGTTTTCTGTAATAAAAAAATGTTGGCAGAAGAAACAGACGATTACTAAAATAATAATAACGAGGTATAGGCATATATAGCTTCATTAATTCTGGTATTGGTTATCTGGCTGAATTTCCAGTCTCCTGAACCATACAATATAATGGTGTTATATATATTTATTTGCGACTGAAAAAACAAAAGCATGGATTATGATCTGCATGCATGCCATATATATCTTAAAACATTAATTTGATACAGATACAATGACAATACCTAACCAGAAAGTAAAGTTTATCAAATCAAAAGAGGACAAGAATCAAGATATTGATAGCATGTTTTTCATGTAGTTGCGTAAAACTCTTTGCTTAATTTGTACCTTTATGATTAATTATTACTACACTATTATTATTAATTATTACATTTACTCAAATGATCAATATTCAGAAACTGCATGCTATTCAACTTCAACAACATTTTGATTGTTTAGATGATTAAAATGGTATTTTTTAGATTGTTTATTCTCATATAAATCGTGACATTAATAAAACATGTTGTTTGATACTATCAAAAACACTTTTTGGAATGAATATTGGCTGATGAATGAGTAAAAGAAAGGTAGAGAATAATAATATTTGGAAGTGTAATCAGACACCGAAAAGAACGACTTTGACGAGTAATCTAACCTTTATAATTTACTGAAAGCGACGTAGTCAGGAATTTTCCAATTTCTCATGCAACCTGGTAATTTTATCCGCTTGTTCTTCCTTAAATTCAAATAAAATATGTGGATGATTACAAGGAATTTGTTTATCTAGCAAGAAGCCAATAGGCATTACTTCTTTATTGATATATATATTTTTTATTAAAGGCTATATATCTTTCTCATTAAGTGGAAGGCATTTACCTTGGAAATGAATGAATAGTTTGCCTAAATAATATTATCTTCATTAAAAAATTCGTAAGCTATGCATTAAATAAATAAAAATTTCATGCAATAGCAACTCTGTGAAGCTGCCAAGAAAGGAAGACGACCCAACAGGGAACCTTGATGGAATAAAACTCTTAAGAAATCGGGTGAGAGTGATTGGAAGTTCTTTTGCTTAATCTAATTTCCATTTAATTGTCTTATTCATACCGAGATATCCCTACATCTATATCTGCTTTATATTCCTACATCTATATCTGCTTTATGTATACTCACAAATTAAACTGGCAGTCAAAACTCAAGGCAAAACAAAGTTTTATTATCCTGTAAACTATCATCAAAAGATGATGCAATCAGAAAATTTTCCCCCTTCATGGCCATTCCATAGTTTCGCCAATTCAACTATTGATCAGTTCGAGCCCTATAGCCTCAATATGGGTGTCCCTTTTGACGTTTGTGAATTCTCTTCTTCATTCACTACCAGAAAGGATTCCTCTGAGATTTCCTCAATTTCCCATTTCTCTACAATGTTCTCCAGTGAGATTTTCCCATATCCAGCCTGTGATGATCAGCTTCAGGTCACAGTGCCATCGGAGGATTTTTCAGTCCCCTTTGAGGGGCTTGAATCTATGTTGACTGACGGGATTGAGGATCTATATAACTGTTTGGATGAGAGCGAAGAAAGTTTTCCGTTGTCACAGCCATTGTCCTCTCAAAGGCAATATGTATGGAGTCCTAGTCCATCCATAAGGTCTAGTGAGGCATCCACTGATATGACATCAATGCGATCATCACTTAACATGCCTGGAGAAGCCATGGAAATTGATAATCAGTTGAGCATATTTCATCTACTCAAGGCTTATGGAGAAGCTACAGAGAAGAACCAGAAAGACCTTGCAGAGGTGATCCTGAAGTGTGTCAGTGAGAAAGGTAGTCCAGTTGGTGAAACTTGGGAACGGATTGCATTCAATTTATCTCAAGAGATTCAAAATCAAAGCGATTATCTAATGCAAGAGTCTAGCAAGAACTTTGAGACAGCCTTCTGGGCTTTCTATCAGATGTTCCCATATGGAAGGTTTGCTCATTTTGCTGCTAATTCAGCAATCCTGGAAGCCATGCCCAATGATGCAGACATGTTACACATCGTGGATTTTGACCTCGGAGAGGGGATTCAGTGGCCTCCAATGATTGAGGCCATGGCATGGCAACACAAGACATTGAGACTGACATCAATAAGATGGGGAGAGGAAGACTTCGCTTGTTGTCCATGGAGGTTTGAGGACACAAGAAGGCAACTTTGTGACCATGCCAGGTCTTTTGGCCTAATGATAAAAGTGGAGGAAATGGGAATAGAAGAGTTGAAGAAAGAGCTCAAGAAAATGAAGAAACGAGGTGGCGCTAGAGAATGGTTGGCCTTCAATTGCATGGTGGGACTGCCACACATGGGAAAAGCCAAGAGCAGGAAGCACGTAAATGAGTTTCTAAACGCAGCTAAAGAACTATTGCAAAGTTCTGACAACTACATTATAAGAAACAGGGGAATTATAACATTCGGTGATGGAGATGCTTGTGAAAAACAGAAAGATTTTTCAGGATATGGGACATTCTTTGATTGGCAATTGATGCACTACCAAGCTGTTTTAGAATCAATGCAATCCAACTTCCCAAAGCAGCTCGTCCAAGCAAGAATGGCTATGGAGTGTCTGTTTGTAGGACCCAATATCTGTAGCCAAGCTTGGTTCCAAAAGTGGAAGGAGATAAATGAAAGTTGCCATTTCCAGGCAGGTACCAGATTGGAAGGTTTGAAGGTTAGCACACAGAGATTAATGGAAGCTAAAGAAATAGTGAGAGGAAGGGAAAATGCATATGAGGTGTGCATTGGAGGGAATTGTGGAAATGAATTAACCTTGGAGTGGAGAGGAATTATGCTAGTCAGAGTTTCCTCCTGGAGAAATTAGAGCTTAATTTTTTTTAGTACTTGTATGAAAATACAAACAGCAGAAGGATTATTTATGTTGAAATTGTAAAAATTGTGAAAACCATAAAACAAATGAATACAAGATTTCTACATTTTTATTATAGAAAAGTTTCCACTTTCTCTAATTGCAAGTTAGTTGTTTGTCTACTGGTAAAACGTCGACAGCAGGATTCGAACCTGCGCAGGCAATGCCCAACAGATTTCGAGTCTGTCTCCTTAACCACTCGGACATATCGACTCCCATGTAGTTGCCGAATTCATTAACTTAATTTATCCTAAATTTATTGTTCCGAATTTAATTCAAATTTTACTTCTCAACACCCTCTCAATCTCTCCTCCTTCCGCTGCTGGCTAGCAACAGCAAATGTTTTGTTGCCCCTCATTTGATCCGAAGGCCTTCCTTTTGCTTTTGAAAACGCTTTCAAAACTCTGTTTTACCTACTCTTTGTCATTAATTCGTCTTTCTTTTAGGAGCTCAAATTTGAAGAAAAAACCCTAGAAAAATGGGGGAATCCTCGAGAATGATCGATGTGGAGAAGCTGATATCTTATAGCGACGATCTGGTGGGGGTTTTAAAGGACCAAAGGGACATTATCAACTTAACGCAGTGTTTTCAGCACCTGAACGATCTCCACTCGCATTGCGACTCTGATTCCAAAGAGGTTTATCGGTTGCTTCAAGGTCTCTCTTTTCTACTTTTTTTTTTTTCAGAAATTAAAAAGAAAAGAAAATAAAGGAAGATCTTTTTCCTTATTTTTTAAATGCAGAATATGAAGAAAAGATCGAAGCTTGCAAAAAGAAAACAGAGCAGGCAAAGTCTGAAGTTGCCGATGGAGCTGAAATGGAGTATCTGCAGAAGGAATTGCAAGAGGAACTTGAAAAAGAACGTGGGCTTAAGGAGGAGCTTAGATAAGTATATGTTTTTGTCGGAGTTTTTTTTTTTTTTTTTTTTTTTTGAGGTTTTGGTTTTATGGTGTTTGATTTATTTATTTATCTGTTAAATTTCTTCTAAAAGAACACAGCTACTAGTAATGAGATAACTGAGCTGGAGCGCCAGAGGGCTTCTATTGAAGAGCGGAAGAAAATGCTGAGGAAATTTGAGCAAGATAAGCTCAAAGAACAGTAAGTTTATGAACTCCTATTTGTGTAGCAAATGATGCTTGATCATTTTTATATTTTCTGAATTCTGATGTTTATGTCCTGAAAACGGGGGAAACATGCTAGCATGAATATGTTTCTTGGACAACTAACAGAAAGATCTTGACTTGAATTTCTGGACTTTGATTTCCATGTATATGAGCGTTGTTCACAGGGTTGCTTTCTGTTCTGAATGTGGTTAACAAAGGTTATCTGAAATAACATCTGTAGTATCCTGGGATTTGTCAGTCAACTGTTTTTTGAGGAACCTGGATCTTTTGCTATGTTCAACAATATTTTCTTATTCCAAAAATGTGTCGTAATGGCTATGAAGCTATACTTTCCCAAGTTATCTTTTGCTGAGTTGGTGTCCAGCGTATGAAGATGAATCATTACACCTTGATCTTGCAGGAGGAAGCTTTCCATGTATGCTTCTATAACTAATATTATTCCAGTCTTGGAAGACCAATCCAGAATCTCAGGCCGTATCCTTCTGATAAAAATATTATTTTCCTCTTCATCTAACTTCATCTGTCAGGTTTTTTTTCATATTCAAAGTTGTTTTTATGTTGATTTTTTCAGATTCTCCTTGATTCAAATTTGTCACAGATATAGTGGATAGAGATAAAAAGGTGGTAGAGAAGTTTGAATGTGACCCATCAAAGGTGACTGCTTTTGATGCTTGTGATAGCCTATGGAAGATGATAAATTCCTAGTAGCCATTTCACATACTTTCTCTTGATTGAGATATGTAACCAAATATGTAATATTATGTCTTTCTAATGCTTCTATCCAAGCATTTTTCGTTCCTAAATGTTTGATCTTTTTATGTGATAGATTATTTTGATTCTTAGAGCCGCCATTGCAGCCATTCCCTTGTTGAAGAAATGCAGTAGAAGGTTGCTTTTTGTTGATAATGAATCAAATTTCTCTCTTAAATGCTGTTGAAATTTGATGGCAACCAAGAACCTTAAGATGAAACTCATTTATAAGATCTCCATTTTAGTCTTCAGCTTTAAACCTAGCAAGATTATCAAATAAGAGGATAAATCTTCAAGCGTTAATCATAAACAATAATAACCAGGAGGATATATTATGCTAGTAGTCCAAATTGTAATCTCATTCCTGCATAAATAATGTAGAAGTTAAAAAGTTAAAATGGTCCATCCTGATCCTACTACTATGTGAATTTATACTGGTGCCTCTGTTTTCCTCCACTGCAACAATTAAGTCTCAGCTGGAATGAACGAAGCTGAGTCTGGGTAGCAGACAGGAGAGATTGAACTTTTGTCTTCAGCTGCTTTGGGAGAATTTGACATGCAGGCCTTTGCCAGAGCTTTGTCTTTGTAAGCATTGCAGACATAGGTTATAAAGTTTTCGTATTTCTGCACCCCAAGTATTTAGATGGTCAGAGAGAGAAACAAAGGTGTTGATAACGATGAACAGAGAGATGAGTGGCTAACATCATAAAGAGGTTGATTATTCACTGTCACCCAGGGAACATATAAATGTTTTGGATGGAGATTATTTGTTTCCGTAGCGTACTGCAGTAAAAGCTGCATTTCAATTTGCATTTGATGTCAGTAGAAAAACCAACATAATATGGCTGCATACGTTGAACTATAGAAAGAAGAAATGGAAATTTAAAAATCATTGTTACACTTACAGTAAACACAACCGAATGCATTAACACTATAATTGGATTGAGGAGAAGGGAAGGAAAGAAAAGGAAAATAAATGAAAGTAATGGAAACAGAAAAATCTTTTTTTTGTTTGAATAATCTTTTAATTTAAAAGAAAGAAAATGAGTGAAAACTCAATAAATTTTGATTTTTTTGTAATCTTCACTTTTTAAATAGCTCAATTTGAGGAAAAATTAAAAAAAGAAAAGTTAAAAAAAAATTTATTTTTATAAAAAAAATTATTATATCAATCTTTTTATTAATATTAAAAACTTAGTAAAAAAAATCTAACTACATCACAATTTTTTCGTAATTTTTTCAAAATCATCTCTTTGTTCAAGTAAGAGTCAGATTTTTCTTCCAATATAAAAATTTTTTATAATTTTTTGATGATTTGACTTTGATGAATGATTGAATATGAATAGATATATTTTTTAGGTTTATGAGATGTAATGTTTTTATGTGATTATATTTTTTATATTTAATAAATTTTATATGAATACATCCCCAAAGTAATAGTGTGTTGAAATTTTGACAATAACCAAAAAATCCATCAATGCATGTTTGTAAAATATATTTTTATTTTACTTGATTAAAAATCATTGATATAACAATAATTATGAGACCATACAAAATATGAAATATATTATGATCTTGAAGTGTTCTAAAGTTATAGGTAATGAAATGTTATAGTTGAAAAAATTATTATAATGAATCATTTTTTTTTTAATTTTTTATCAAAACAATAGTTATTAAAATTTTTTTTATTAATTTTAATTATTCAAATAAGAAGTACATGTATTAATTTTTTTTTAACTTTCTTTTCTTTTCTTTTTTTTATTAATATTTATTCAATCATTGACTAGAAGCCAACTACCTCGAAGATTGCTTATGCAGTTGCTGGGAAATTGAAAGGAATTAAAAACTACAGAAGGCGAGAAAACTATTGTGTAATTCAATTCCAATTAGAAGTAGCTTACCTTTCTTCCATATCCGCTGTCATAGCAGTTCTTGATAAGTTTCTCGTCCATACCCAATCTGGCAGAGCAGGCTTTCCACAATGTATCTGCACCGTCAGAGTGCTGAACATTCTTGATGTGAAGGCCTTGATTTTCAATACAGTAGATGAAGTTGAAATGCATTCTCTGTGGTATTAAATATAGAGAATTAATATGAAGTAAAGAATACACCTACTCCTGAAACCTGCATAAATTTAGTTAGATTTTTTTTTCTAGTAGATCTCATTACCAGTTCCCTAATTAAAGTTCATTTCCTACGAAATTAAGAAAATTGTGCACTAATTAATCATTTATGATTAGTTTCAAGAATCTACTCTACTTAATGTGCTAAAAAAAAGGATTTCAGCACTCTTTATGATATGGAAGAGAAAGCTGACTTACCAAATCAGGCCAGATGTTGATGGCGCAGGCATGTATGGTGTTCAGGTAGCATTCATCTTCACCATGCTTGATTTATAAAAATAAATACATATAATTAAATAAATGAAATAAAAGGTGTTAAAATTACAAAACCAAAATAATAAAAACAAAGATGACATGTAATATGCCAAAATACGGATGCAATGGTTGAAGGGAAGTGACAAAACTCAAATGAATACAAATAAGATAGAAAAATGGAAGTGAAACCTGGCAAATGATGGTCTTGTTAGGTTTTACAACTTCAGCGTTGCCCCAGGGAACAAGCCTAAGATTGATGATATTGAGAAGATCAGTGTTGAAGACCTTCACGAGTTGACTTACAATGAAATTCCGGCAATATGGGCATAGAGACTCATAATATAGAGACAGATTAACTTTCTTTGGTTTGACAGATTGAGCTTCGGTGACATTGTTATCTGGAGAAGAATGAGATGGATAGATGAAGATGACGAGCAGAGAAAGAAGAAGAAAGAAGAGAAACTGAGAAGAAGCCATTACTCGGTAGTCAGTCAGTACTGAAAACACTGAAGTTCCCATATTTTCTAAGGTTTTATATGTAGCTGTCATAAATACTGAAACATCTAAATGGTTCCTTATAAATGATAGGTGTCCCACAATTCCTTAGGTATTAAAACGCAGTGGCCCCCCCCCCCCCCCCCCTTCTCTTTTTTGCAGATCAGGCTTCTTTAAGTCGTTTATTTTCTTTGTCAAACCATCTTGCCTGGAAGCAAGTAAAAAAATAATGATAAAACTTAAGTCATTTTTAAGTACTAATATCAAATTGTTCATTATTGAAAAACACTAGCAGCTACAACAAAATCAACTTAGGCTTAGCAGCCATGTTTTCAACTCCTAGGCTTCTTGATTAATTCTCATTCTCTTAGCTTTCCACTATTAACCTTCAAAATCAACTTAAAGGTATAATTATTGAAAAATACTATTTCACTTAAATAGCCTATTTGTTGATTAGCTTCTTTTAATCAGCCTGGTTCATTTGATAGACTAAATATGCTAGCAAACTGGCATATTAAAAAGGTCACCTCAAATTTTAAGCATTGTTATCCTCCCGCTTCATGCTGAAGGAAGATCCATATATCAGTATCACAAACTGATGTTGAGCACACTTTTGTTCCTTCTAAAGGGTTGACTCTGCTGCCATAAGTTCGTATAATAATCCAACAGCAAGTATGCCCAAAAAATAAAAAACTAAATTCCACAGGCTACTTACCCTTGGTCTTGGATCCCTATGATCCTGCTCAAACATGTCTTCTTCTTTGGACTTAACAATAGAGAAGAAAAGATTGCTTTCAATTTTAGCTGGAGAATTGCTGCAGTTTTTCTTTTTAACTTTTGGCTGAATTGCTGCAGTTTTTTCTGGAATGGTCAACTTTCTTTACTTGTGAATATAAAATATTACTTCTGAATAATCAAAAGGTGTATACATTAATAACTTCATACAAGCTTACTACAAAATGCAACCTTATCAGCTGCAATTTCGGGACACGCCAAATTAATTGCAGTGCAGTGCCAACTAGAGGCAGCAAGTCTCAGATCTCAAACATATTTAATGAGAAGCAGAATCACAAAAATCATGGACTACTAACAGATGGTGAGAAGTCCCCTGCCTCGTGGCCTAGTGGCAAAGGAAAGCTTAAAGGGATATGAGGGCTAGGTTTCGAGCCACCCCCTCTCCTCACCCCCTGTACTAAAAACAAAAAATAAATACACAGAAGGTGAGAATACACAATCCATGCCTTGTAAATTATCGAGTTCTTCCCGTAATCATTATATTTTACTTATAATTGTAGGAGATAAAATATAAATGATACATTTTTTGGTTAGCACCCTCAATGACTTTGATTAGCATAATTCATTTAAACAGGCCTACTAGAAAGCTAAAGAATCTGATGCAAAGATTGTCGTCACAACCAGAACTTGATGAAAAGGTTAGTTTTAGATAGGCGTGGTATTCATGTACATTTCAGAGCCATCATATAATCGTATGGTACTGCTCTATTCTATACTGTTTAATCAAGAGCAATCGCTATTGTTCAATTAAAGAAGGGAGACGCCAAACTGAATCCCATAAATCAGCAACCATGTGATTGTATATGGTGTATCAGCATTCAGCAACGATGCCTACATATAAGGGAATCGACAAAATGTTATTCTCTAATTTTCTTAACTGGTATCAAGGTTTTCTAGTTTTTCTCTTAGCATAGCAAACTGAATTACTAAGAGTTGCCTTTTTTAAAGAATTGTTCGTTAGTGGGAGTAGTGGGAGTGATTGGCAAGCCTCAGGCACTCGTTCGCCCTGGTATGCCTTGCAGACGTAGCTAGCAAAATTCTTGAAGTCCTGTATTGACAAAAAGAGCATTATGAAGACAATAGAGCAATAAAATTGAGAAAAAATTGGAGAGCAAAAGATACATAAGCTAGAAATTAAGTGACCTCCTGCAGAGGTTGACCGTTAACAAGCACCCATGGGACAAATTTATGTGGTGGATTAAGCTGAGTAGTTTCAGCAGCATACTGTTTTTCAAGCTGTAAACATAATTATCACGCAATGAATATTAAAAATTAGATCAAAGATCAAAGAGACAACAAGCCAATGAAACTCACCACATTTCCATATCCACTTTTATAGCAATCAATGGGGACAGTGCCTAAGCGAGTCATATCAAAACAATTAACCCACTCATTCAGCTTGTTCTCCAAGGTCAGACGCTCAACGCAGAGAATAAATCTGAAATGCCACTCCTGCATTAAGAAAAGGTACGAGATAAATCAAGACTCAAGGATCAACCATATGTCAAAGGATGGATGCTATTGGTAGTGTCTCATAGAGACCACAATTTGATGTTTGGAATTTAAAATTAGTCAAAAGTTGCACTAAACTCTATATTCATCAATTTTCAAGGTCAACTGATCAAACTATGTTCTACAGTTCTCTTGGCCTAAGATTCACGAAAATGAGAAGAAAATTTTCAATCTTAACATTGGGATTCAATGTATTCACAGGGAAAACCAAGTGCCACCTTCAACAAAAAGAATTTTTTTCTTTCAGAAAAAAAAATGGTGCTGTATTAATGCACCTGCATTTCAGCTTTAACTTGGTATGGTAATGAAGAATGTTGTGGGTAACATGGATCATGTTTTCTTGGGCCTAGAAGAATAGTGGGCTTACCACGTTAGGATATATTATGATGGTGCAAGCCTCGATAGCATTTAAAAGGCATTCATCTGGGCCATGCTGCAAGGGGATGTAAAGCAAGAATGGTCAAAATTTTGGATCCCAAGCATTGGAATTAAACCCGATTGGTCATTCATAACTGGGAAAAAAGAAAGAAAGCAAGATTGGCGAAAGCCGAACAAAGGCTGCAAGCCTGCAACTTCTTGTAAGGAAACAGATTTAGAGGTTTGCTTGAATTGAGTTGAAAACTAATATGTACAAAGGAACTCTGATGGAGATAGAGATTATATAAACAGGATTCAGGGTTTGAAAAAGAACCTGGCAACCGAAGGTACCGTCACGTTGCATAACAGCGTTGCCCCATGGAACCAGCCTGAGGTTGACGATGGAAATGAGTCCCTTGTCAAAGAGCTTTACCAGATGGTTCACTATGAAGTCTGCACAATAAGGGCAGAGAGTTTCGTAGTAAACAGAAAGAGTGACGTTTTGAGCATTATATGTTGATATAAACAACAACAACAATAGGAGAGAAGTAAACAAACGAAGAGACGCCATTTCCAAACTGCAAACTAATATTTCAGAAGTTTCAATTTGAATTTAATTTATGGATAGAATCGCTTCTTATGCACTTTGAAAAGCTTCGAAAAGTAACCGTCACTTTTTATAGGGTAATGACCCTCACTTTGATGTAATAACCTTTTCTCTTTTTCTTTTTCAGCTTTTTTTTCTCTCCCATTCGCATTCTTTTCCAGATTTCTTTCATTCATTTTTTTTTCTATTTTTTTTCTTTCTTTTTCATGTAGAAAAATGAAAATGGAAGGATTTGTGAAATCTCAGTCCCCGGCATTAAATGGCTTAACCTTAGTATTTATGAAAATATTTGAATAAGATACGATTCGATCTTATTTCCATTTCTATATTACAGTTTACCAAAATCTATAAAAAAAAAAAGTTTACGCTATATAAAATGTCATTAATTATCATTATTTTAAATGAAACTTTTATTAAAATCATGAAGATTTTATTTTTAATAATAATAAATATATTTTTTGTACAAAATAGTAGATTCATTTACTATCAAATATAGGGAAATGAACTCCACTCCAATAGAGGGTAATCATAATTTCGTTAGTTATAAGACTCTTCACTTTAATAAAAATATAAATATCCTTAAATTTTTTTTAATTTATGTAAAATTTTCAACTGAGTTAATATCATTTGATTAGTGAAATCAATTCAATTAAAAAATTTATATATGATGTAGATACCAGCTAAGGTACTACATAAATATATACAATCCAAGTAGCAATTTTAAGTTAAAATCTAAAATAAGTAGTAACTCTCTCGGAATATTTGCTTGCTGTAAAGTTGTGCAAGCCATGGCTTTCGTGAATATTCTCAGTCGCCACTCACCCGCAAGTTATGAATATATAAAACGCAATTAGCACTTTAAATATGGGTCCGAAATGAGAAAGCCATTTTTTTAAAAAAATAAGACTGCTTTTTTTCTTAATTGAAAGCTGACACATGTTGACGTTATTCACCAATCTTAAGAAAGGAATAAATTCGTCAAGTTTTGATAGCTCAATGCATATATGGCTTACCAATTTTGCAAAACACGTAAAGCCAATGTAACTTTGAAAACAATGCACTATTTATCTTCTTATGCATACAATCTTCTCCCTTTTGTTGCAATCCACTACTTACATATATAGCTCAATTTAGACACCAGCTCACTCTTATATAATTGTACGATTTTGTGTCTTGAACAATGTTATGGTCTTAAATTATTAATTATGAAATTAATAATTTACGTATTAATGACTTTTTCTTATACTAAGAAAAAGATTAAGAAAATATTTTGAACCGCATTTTTTCAATTAATATAGTTGTAAAGCAGAAAGTCTCTAACTACCTATCATTACAAAAAAATGGATAATTATTTACAAAATTGTTCATCTCTAATAATATTTTTATTATTCGAATTTATTATTAGTGGCAGAGTTTCCGTCACTAAAAATCTAATGACATACTCTACTTCGTTGATAATATTCCATCGATAAAAACCTATCCTCTGGGTAATACTAATGACATCAGCAATAAAAATTTTCATCACTAAAAACAAATATTCCATCGATAATAACAATTTCCATAAAAAATATAAATTTGTTGCTCATGAGTTTTAGTGATAGAATTTTTATTAATAAGATTTTTATTTTATTCTTGCAATCAAAAAGTAAAACAAATCCTACCATTGATAGTCTTTTGCGATGGAAATTCCATCACTAATGTTTTTATTATTAATTTTGTGAAATGGAGTTTGAATTTCGCTATTAGTGCTTATTAGAGATGAAATTTTCGTCGCTAAAAAGTGTTTTTTTTTTTAATTTTTATGCTACATTTTCGTCACAAAAAGAATTTAATGATGAAAAATTATGTTGCTAAAACTAAAAAAAAAAAAGCAAAATTTGGGATTGATTCCCATTTTAGGATCGATCTTTGTCATGGCAAATCAACTATTCTCTTAATAAGATCGGTCATTTTAAGTTTTAAGTCAATTATTGCATTTCCAAACCTGTTTGAGGGTCGATCCTTGTCATGGAGGATCAATCCTTCCTTGAATAGGATTAATCCTTTGAAGTTTTAAGCCAATTATTGCATTTGCAAACCTATTGCATTTATTAACGGATCTCAATACAACTATATTATACTATAATTAAATATCTAGTTCATTTTTACAAAACCTACCAATAGTGCATACATACACAATGAAAAAAATTCATAATACTGTCCAAAAGATCCGAATCCATGAAACAAGCCATTATCAAATATCTGGGTGAGCCTTAACAAAACTGCCTTCACACTATAAGAAAAATCATTTTTGCTAGCATTTATAAATATTGATAAAAGACCCAAATGGTGATGATATTACCATTTCCACTAGTTCTTTGACTGTCAATTGACCACCAGCTAGGTGAATACCGGTGAAAACTTTTCAATGATCGAGCCACGAATGCCAGAATTACATTTATACTTGCTAATATGATTTTTTTTTTTATTCTTTAAATTTCTATTAAGAGTAAAAAACTTTTAAAACTATTTTAAAGTGCCAATAAAAATCACATTTTATTTAAAATTTTTATATGTATTGAGTAAGCTATATTGATACTTAAAATTTTCTTTAAAAAAAGTCTTACTTTATTTTTTTCCAATAATTTTGATATTTCTAATATTAAACACCAAAACATAAAATCGAATTTGAATCAATCAATTAACATGCAATAATAAACAAAACCATAAAAGCTAAATGCTATGAAATCAATTAAACAAACTCGAATATAACCCTAATTCAGTTGTCATGCAGTACATGCAATTTAACAAAACCAACATAAATCAAAGCCCTACTTAGTTTCAAAATCATGCAATAAGCCTAAATTAACCTTTAACAAGCAATTAAAGCAAAATAAATCAAAACAATCAAACCAATAAACAATAACCAAAAATATTAAACCCTAATCTCATGCAATTTCTTACAACCCCAATATAAAAACCCTAAACTGAATTAACAAACCCTAAATATGCAATAACTAAAATAAAATCAATATTAGAAACTAATTTAAATCAATTAACAACTAAACCATATAGAACATGCAAGAACTTAAACAAATAATCAAGATTTAATCCTAAACATTCAATCTAAACAACTTAAGCTTAAACCAAAATTAAATCTAGCTTTAAATAATATAATCAAAACCTTTAAACCAAGATTAAATTGCAATTGAATAAATTAAACCAAAATAGAACAACAACCAAAAGGATTAAACCAAAATAAAACAACTTGTAAGTATAAAGAACCAAAACCAAAAAGAAAGATTCAATCTTTAAACTAATAACACTAAACTGAATGAAAAGAAACTTAAAACTAGAATTTGATTGCTTGAAAACTTAAAAAATAATGTGCATAAAGTAATCTTGAAAACTAGAAAATTAAAAGAACATGAAAGTTTAAAACCAAAACTTGAATACTAAAGAAATCTTAGAACACACAAACCCTAAAAATCATTGATAAATTAGTTTGTCAACCCAACCCTTTACACCTTTTATTCAAGACTTAATGATGAATTTATAGGCTAAGAAAACCCTAGGTAGGTTTAGCCAAGAGATCTTGAAAAGAGCTTGCACATGTGTTTTAGTTGGACTTGAACTCTTGAATCCAAGAATACCTCTTGTAGTTGAATCCAACTAGAACTCTTCAACAAGAAATCTTATAAACCATTCTTAACTTTTAGATGATATCCATCATATAGCAACTCAACTCATGCATAAAATAACACCAAAACTAAATCTTGCTTACCAAAAAAGTGCATTCGACCACATGAAATAAACTTCATGAATGTTGTTTCAAATTGCCTCAATCTTGTATCCTTCATGTAGTCCACAACTTGTTTGAATTCTTGGAGAAAAATCAGAGTTTTAAACCATGTAGAACACTTCATTAATGCCGCCCATAAAGAATGGATTTAAATGCTTCATGCAATCCTACTCTAAGTAGGAATAAGAATACCAAATCTTAATCCATATAGGAAATTCAAATCCAAGTAGGAAAAGTAATTAGAATTGCCACCTCATCATGCCACATCATCTTTCTTAACCAATAAGAAAACTCTTTATACCATGTCATATATTAGTAATATCATGCATGTGTACTTAAATAAGCTATCATGGATTTGCAATCACTTGAAATTATAATTCTGAACTTCATTATAGCCAAAATTACCTACTTAAATCATGCATTAATTTTTTTCATTCTTCTTTCAAGGTTCATCATCCTTTCTCCTATAACTCCATAAAACCAATCTTGAACTTCTTTCTCATTCTTTAACTTCAAGATTTCTAAGAAAATTAAAAACTTTCAAGAATATCATAAGGTTCCTTCTTATGCATTAAAAAATCATCAAGATTGATTAAAAAATACTAAGAAATTTTAATATTTACTCTTTTCTTAAAAAAAAAACCTACAAAACAGAAAATTATACCATTTAGGAGTAAAAAGAATATTATTTTACTAAAAACTAAGCAAAAATCAATCAATTAAGCACTAAAAACAAGCATAAATAACTTTATTTTATAAAGTTATCAACTTCTTGAATTATTGATTCATAACTTATTTTTGTCTTTTTCTAGAGAAAATCTATTTTTACTATTTTACAACACTTTGATCATGTTAGTAAATAAATTGAAAATTTTAAATCATATATAAGAGACAATAGATATACTATAATGATTAAATGTTTTAATCCACCAAACACATTTCTTAAAAAACAAAAATAGACAGTAAAAACTGGTTTCTAAAAAATGAAAATATAAAATGAAAATTCAAAATGTTTTTAGAATCTAAACACTATTTGAGTATTTTGCACCAAAATATATAAAAAAAGGTAACAAATAGTGCTCTTTAATTACATTAACACCAATAATAACCAAAGCTCATAAAATGACATTTCCTTCTTTCCAGTTTCATAAGTTCAAGCTAAAAAATAAGTAATATTTAAAGAACTTGTAAACAAAGCTATTTTTAAGATGAAGCATATATAATCTATGCAATAAAAACTCTATTTGAAGATCAAGTATAAATTACAAGATGTTATGAGTTTTTTGCCTTTATTCCTAAGTTAGATTA